CTCACCAGTTTGGCTGGACTAGCTGGCCAGTAACTCCTGGGGTCCACCTTTCTCTTCCACATCCTTCAACCGTCTCCCCGAGCACTGAGATTACAAACAAGCATCTCTGTATCCAGATTTAACATAAGTGCCAAGATCCAAACTCAGGCCTCCATTCTTGTGTACTTTACCCATTGAGTCATCTACCCAGCCCCATCAGGTTTTCTCCACCAAGGTCTTTGCATTCTCCTTAAAACAGTGAAAGTTTGTTATTTTTACAGATCTGAAGTCTGATGTATTTTAAATCAAACAAACACTGGTTAAAGATCACTTTCAGAATGTTTCAAAATAGAAATGAATAAGGAAAGTAAGAAACACTGAACAGCAAGATCAGTCTCCTTTTCATCTATTGTTAACTATCTTCTTTATTTCTACGTATTCCCATGGTACAGAGATGCTTGTCTGTAAACCCAGTGCTGGGGGAGGCAGGTAGAGAGTAGGACTCATAAGAGGTAATTAGGTGATCTGGATGTGGCCCTCCAAAGTGAGATTCCTGGCCTTCCAAAAGAGACTGTAGAGAGTCATTCAGTCATTCTATGCAGAGGGATGCAGAATGCTTGACCATGGAAGTAGGCCTTCACCAGAGAGGCAATCTACTGGTTCTCCCTTCACATCAGAACTGGCCATGATGAAGAAACTAGTCCTTCCTCATGCCTTAAACATACTAGGTCTACACTGAGGCTTTGTCCCATCTCCTGGCTACACACAGTGAGCTCAGGAAACAAGTTTCCAGCCTAGACAGATAACAAGAAGGACCAGCCTGACTCTAAGTACTTCTGAACGTATCCATTGTTGCCTGTGTACGTAGGCACTGAATGGATCGGTGCAGGAGTTGCAAGGGGGAGAATTAGTAACTTTCACGGGTTTGTAATTGGAATGGAGGCTCTCACAAAAGACAGAGTCAGAAGAGAAAGGCAAATAGAAGTTTGTTACATGAATATTTCAAATATATATGAAATTTGCCCAGGAAATAAGTAAGCCTTGCAGTGGTTATTCTAGTATATTATGTTTTTATATTTAAATTTCACAAACATAATTGTTTATCATACTGAAACATCCTTGTTCCTCATAAAGAGCTTGGTAATGAGTCAGTGCAGGTCAGTTCACAAACATCTGCCTGTTTTGCAGTCTCTAAGCCAAATCAGAGACATACATCTATATAGGACTTCCAGCTTCAGAACTGTGAGGAAGTTCTGAACTTATGACATAGGTTGCTATGTCAGAAGCCATCTGGGTTATAGTTGTTTAATACAGAGCCTCAACCACACTAAGATGTTTTCCTCTGCAGAGAAGACAGCCAAATATTTTAAGTTGTCTCGAATCTCATTTATCTGATCCTTCAGTGACAAAATAAAGGCATTTCTACATTTCTCCCTTGGAGGCATCAGGGATAACTGTTGCTGTTAATGGGGAGGGCAGTTTGCTCTCTCCTAAGTGGAGGCTGGGAATGACACAGCATGAATAAAATAATAATAATAAGTAGCATGAATAAAAATTAAACACAAAATGACAATTTAAACCTATAGAGAAGTACAGAGTCAAAAACCAGTTTGTATTATGTGACCTTTGCTATTCCTTCTGTAGGATGAGAATTTAATATCTACCACTAAAGATGGTGTGTTGGTTACTTATCTGTTACTGTAATAACTGTAAAAGCAATGTAAGGAAGACAGTGTTTATTTTGGCATATGATTCCAAAGGATAAAGTACCTGTCATGGTGGAGACTGCTCGGCATGGCATTGTTACTGAGTTCCAAATCACCAGGAGTGACCTACAGACTCAATTCGGATTATAAGTAGCCAAAGTTATCAGAACTGCTAGCCAGTTATTAAGACCCTAAGGCGAATCAGAGACATGGTGCTCTGAAGCAGTTGAAGGAAGACTTTTAAAGTCAAAAACCACAATTACTTCATTTCTGCAGAAGTTACAGCTACATGTGCAACTAATTGCTTTACTCCCCACAGCAGAAAGAGTCAGGGTACAGAACCCAGAGCAAGCAGTTAATTGATCCACAACAGTTACGCCACTCTGGGGAGGGGCAAGAAATCAAGGGCTGTCTTGTCTTTCAAGAAGTTAGGCCAGAGACCAACAGCAACTAAAATGGGTGCCTAATACAAAATGGAGTTTCCTCAGCCATTGGCAAAATGGCTGACCACATTCTTTATCCACACAGTGACCAGGTTGAAGAGAAGCTACACAGTCTCGAAGCCTGTTCCCAGTGACGTACTTCCTCTAGTAAGCCTGCACCCCATAAAGGTTTTATACCCTCCCCTAACAGCACCCAATTAGGATCAAGTGTTCAAGGACCCATGCCTATGGGGGGCATTTCTCATTAGCACTACTTACTTGTGATGACAGGAATTAAGTACCCCAGAACCTTGCCTGTACATCCACCATACCCCGAATGGTAGTTCCGAATAGCCCCACTCACCTTTCCAACTAACTCCTGCAGAGTTACAGAAACCTAATGCCATAGGAACCTTTCTGATGTCAGCATTCAAAAACGCCACTGGTGACCTGCAGTCAGCAACGGCAACTTTAGAGTTCCACCAGTTGTCACCACATGGTTTAGTGCCTAGTGATTTTAAGGCTAAAACCCAAAATCTTACTAAATGTGATTGGATAATATTTTACTTAAACTTAAAAATAAAATTAGGTACTTTAGTTAAAGCTTTGTATGTATTTATTAGCACTCTGCTCAAAATTGAGCCTTTTTTTATGACTTCACAGAATACAAATATCCCTATTGTCAACTGAGACTACAGACACAGGTTTAAAATAACATGTTCATGTATTTTACTTATTATCTGCAAGCAATGGTTGCCAAATTGAAGGAAACCTATCCATCCTTATAAGGAGGGGGAAAATAGATGTAATGGAATTTTATCCACAGGTAGCCTTTTTCCCTTCTCTGCCTAGAATATCAAAGGGGCATGAAATGGTTTTTAAAGGAACTCTTTACATTCATCACATGTCAGGGGCAGTTTGTAGGAGAGCTTGTAGGAGTCAGCTTTCTGCCTCTGTCTTGTGAATGCCTGGGGTTGAACTCGGGTCATCAGGCTTGGCAGAATGCACCAATACCCACTGAATCATCCTGCAGGCCGAGCCATGTAGACTTTTGTTAAAACAGGATGAGAAGTTTTGTTTCACAACCAAAACTTCTGCAATCAGCTTCTCAAAACTCACAAATATATGGTGTAAATAAAATTAAAAACATCAAGCACTCATGAAACGTGTTAAAAGATTTAGTCACAACTGACCTCCAGTAATCTTTTCTTCCCTTGAAAAAGAACGTTATCTCTGCAGTACTAAGAAATAATTTTACAGAAGAGTCAGGCAGCCTGTCCTCAGGTTACCCAATTACTATTTACTTTTTGGTCATTTACTAAGTGCTCATGTGTACTAACTAAACTTAGTTATTCTAGTGTATTGGGTTTTTATATGTAAATTTTACAAACATAATTGTTCATCATACTGAAACAGCCTTGTTCCTCATAATGAGCTTGGTAGTGAATCCGTTGAGGTCAATTCACAAACATCACCTAAGTACCCACCATGTGTAAAACATATAAAGAGGCAGGTGGAATCCTATCCTCTCAGATGTTGACTAAATACTCAGGGTCATCACTGAGCCCAGAAAAGTCACAGTGGAAGGAAATAGATGACAATGAGTATTTGGAGTAGGCCTAGGTAAGATAACTGGAACGGCACCCCAGAGTCAGCAGAGAAGGGAGCAGACACACAGAAGGGACCCGACTGTAGAAGCATTCCTTCAGGTAATTCTTCTTGCCCCATGTGCATTGGCTGGACCATTACCACAGGCATCCAGATCACACACCGGAGGATCTGAAACAACACGAAGTCCAAGATGGAGAGTAGCAGCAGGCAATGTCTGGTGACCTCCTAACCATTATTTTTGCAACTCTCACATGACCATCTCTTGGGTCCAGGGGCTATCAGCTCAGGAAAGCAGCTCTTGGGAAAGGACAGTGCTATACAGCTTACCAGGGAGATACTCTGAGAGATAAATTGAACCCACAATGAACAATTCACATCAGAACTGGCCACAATGAAGAAACTGGTCGTTCCTCACGCCTTAAACATACTAGTTCTGCACTGAAGCTTTGTCTCATCTCCCAGTCACACACAGTGAGCTCAGGAAACAAATTTGAAGCCTAGACAGGTAACAAGAAGGACCAGCCCGCCTCTAAGTACTTCTGAACTCATCCATTGTTGCCTTGCGTACGTAGGCACTGAATGGATTGATGCAGGTATGTGTGTGGAGATTGTTAGTAACTCTCATGAGTTTATAACTGGAAAGGAGGCTCTCACAAAGGGCTGAGTAAGGAGGGGAAGACAAACAGAAGTTTATCACATGCATATTTCAAAATATATATGAAACATGACCAGGAAGTAAGTAAGCCTCCAAGTGCAGCTTTAAATTCTAGTTGACATAGCACACTTGACAAAGAACAAGAAACTTTTACAGAAGTAACAGAGCAAACGGAAAGGACTTCGGGTCTCTGTGGGCAGCACAGTGGGTGAGACAAACAAGGGCACGTATGGGTAGCTAGTAGAGCTTGTTGACATAGGTTCCCCTGGTACCTGCCCTCGACTGTGTTTTTGTGAATCTAGGCCTAACTTTAGGCAAACAGAGCTTTCTGCAATGTGTTGTCTCTTGCTTGCCTTTACTCAACTGTCCTTAACACAAGGAAGGCGTATTCTGGCTTTCCACATGTCCTCTAGATCTAATATTCTTTCATCTACGTGTGGTGGAAAAGACTTGACTCCACTGTCTTTGCCTCAGTCCTGAGAACAACTTGTAAATTAAATAGATAAAAGCTAAACAGAAGATCAGTGAAGTGGAGCAGGGATACAGGGAACATACCTAAGACATAATAAAGACAATATATAGCAAGCCAACAGCCAACATCAAACTAAATGGAGAGAAACTCACAGTGATCCCACTGAAATCAGGAACAAGACAAGGTTGTCCACTCTCTCCATATTTATCCAATATAGTTCTTGAGATCCTAGCTGGAGCAAGAAGACAACAAAAGGACACCAAGGTACAAATCAGAAAAGAATAAGTCAAACTCTCGCAATATGTTGATAATATGATAGTTTACATAAGCAACCCCAAAAATTCTACCAAGAAACTTCTACAACTCATAAGCACTTTCAGTAATGTAGCAGGATACAAGATTAAATCAAAAAATCAGTATTCCTCATTTACACAGATGACAAATAGGCTGATAACAAAATAAGAGGAACATCATCTTTTACAGTAGCCACAAATAGCATAAAATATCTCAGAGTTACTCTAACCAAACAAGTGGAAGACTTGTATAACAAAAACTTTAAATCTTTGAAGAAAGAAATTGAAGAAGGCACCAGAAAGTGGAAAGATCTCCCATGCTCTTGGATAGGTAGAATTAACATAGTAAAAAAGACAGTCTTACCAAATGCAATCTGCAGATTCAATGCAATGCTCAGCAAAATTCTTCCCAGCCCTTGAAAGGACGGTACTCAACTTCATAAAGAAAAGCAAAAAACCCAGGATAGCCAAAGCAATTCTGTACAATAAAGGAACTTCTGGAGGCATCTCAGACCCTGATTCCAAACTCTACTACAGAACAACAGTACTGAAAACAGCCTGGTATTGGCATAAAAACAGACAGGAGGACCAATGGAACTGAATCGAAGAGCCAGATATTAATCCACACACCTAGGAACACCTGATTTTTGACAAAGAAGCAAAAAATATAAAATGGAAAAAAGAAAGCATTTTAACAATTGGTGCTGGCATAATTGGATATCAACCTGTAGAAGGATGAAAATAGATCCATATCTATCCCCATGCACAAAACTCAAATCCAAATGGATCAAAGACCTCAACATTAAGCCAGCCATACTGAACTTCATAGAAGAGAAAGTGGGAAGTACACTTGATGGCATTGGCACAGGAGACTACTTCCTAAATATAACCCCAGTAGCACAGACAGAGAGCAACAATGGGGCCTCCTGGAACTGAAAGGCTTCTGTAAAGCAAAGGACATGGTCAACAAAACAAAACATCAGCCTACAGAATCGGAAAAGATCTTCACCAACCCCACATTGGACAGAGGGCTGATCTCCAAAATATAGAAAGAACTCAAGAAATCAATCATCAAAAGAATAAATAATCCAATAAAAATGGAGTACAGCCCTTAAACAAATAACTCTTAACAGAGGAATTTAAAATGGCTGAAAGGCACTTAAGGAAATGCTCAACATCCTTAGTCATTAGATAAATGCAAATCAAAACAACTCTGAGGTTCCGTCTTATACCTTTAAGAATGGCCAAGATCGGCCAGGCGGTGGTGGCGCATGCCTTTAATCCTAGCACTTGGGAGGCAGAGGCAGGCAGATCTCTGGGAGTTCGAGGCCAGCCTGGTCTACAAGAGCTAGTGCCAGGACAGGCTCCAAAGCTACAGAGAAACCCTGTCTCGAAAAACTAAAAAAACAAAAAAGAATGGCCAAGATCAAAAACACTGGTGACAACTTATGCTGGAGAGGTTGTGGAGGAAAGGGAACATTCTTACATTGCTGGTAGGGATGCAAGCTGATACGCCTCCTTTGGATATCAGTATGATTTCTCAGAAAATTAGGAAACAACCTTCCTCAAGACCCAGCAATTCCATTTTTGGGTATATATCCAAAGGAATCACAACCATACCACAAGGACATGTGCTCAACTATTGTTGCACCCAGACTCTTGGCCCCCAAAGAGACCACAGGGATCTGGAACTTGGATGCAAAAGCAAGGTTTATTTCAAAGCTCAGTATGAGCCTAGGCAGGGAACTCGTCCAGCACACTCAATGCAGCGAGGGTGGGAGGAGCTGCCTTCCAGAGATTACAGGACTTTTTATAGACAATCTTGCAGGACCAACAGTTCTCACCTAATTTGCATACCCAGACCTAATTGAGGACAGCAAATGATTACAAAAGGGTGTGAAGTTCAATAAACATATCATTATGCAAATAAGTATGGACATAAGTATGTTCTCAGTTGGCCCATTTCTATCTGTCTTTGGGGTATGTAGATGAAGCATACTATGGACATATTTTTATTTGGCTAGTTCTTTGCTATCTTTGAAGCAATGATCTCCCGATTGTTATTGGCTCCTTTTATGGTCCTTGTTACATATGTAGTGTTTTTCAAAATAGCCTAGCCTAAACAGATGGAAAGCAATTAGGTCTCTCTGACCAGTTTCATTTCTTTCAGTGTTTGTCATAACAGCTTTGTTTGTCATAGCCAGAACCTGGAAACAACCACCACCAAAGAATGGATAAGGAAAATGTGGTACATTTACACAATGGAGTACTACACAGCAGAAAAAAATAACATCTTGAAATTGCAGGCAAATGGATGGAACTAGAAAACATCAATATGAGTGAGGTACCCAGACCTAAAGACAATTATCATATGTACTCACTCATAAGTGGTTTTTAAACATAAAGCAAAGAAAATCAGCCTACAAATCACAATTCCAGAGAACCTAGACAACAATGAGGACCCTAAGAGAGACATACATAGATATAATCTACATGGGAAGTAGAAAAAGGCAAGATCTCCTGAGTAAATTGGGAGCATAGGGACCATGGGAGAGGGTTGAAGGGGAGGGGAAAGGAAGGGAGGGGAACAGAGAAAAAATGTATAGCTCAATAAAATCAATAAAAAAAAAAGATTGGGGGGGCTGGAGAGATGGCTCAGTGGTTAAGAGCATTGCCTGCTTTTCCAAAGGTCCTGAGTTCAATTCCCGGCAACCACATGGTGGCTCACAACCATCTGGAATGAGGTCTGGTGCCCTCTTCTGGCCTGCAGACATACACACAGACAGAATATTGTATACATAATAAATAAATAAATATTTTAAAAAAAAAGATTGGTAAACTGGGGGCAACAAATTTCCTTCACAATATTTTAATCTTTTTTCCCCTTTTTTGGCATGTGTGTGTGTGTAGGGATCGCATATGCATGGGAGAATGTGTGTGCACATGTTTGCATGTGGAAGCAGGCTGTTAGTACCTCAAGAGAGCTATACGCCTTTTCTTTTTTTAGGACTCATTTTTATTATATTCTTTCATGTGTAAGTGTGTCTTTGTAAGTGGGTGTCATTAGAAGCCAAAAGAGGCCACCAGATAGATTGCTAAGAGCTGGAGTTAAAATCAGTTTTGACCCACCCAATGTGAGTTATAGGAACCAAACTGCATTCTCTGAAGAACAATAACTTCACTTAAGCATTAAATCTCCCGTACCACCTTGTTTTTTGATGTAGGATCTTTTATTGGGATCTGAAGCTTGCTGATTCTGTGAAGCTGGCTGCCTAGTGAATCCTAAGGAACCTGGATCCATCCCTCATTGCTGAGATTGCAAGCATATACCACCATCCCCAACTTTTTACATGGATTTTGTAGCAAACTCAGAGTCTCTTGGTCATGCAGCTGACATGTTATATATCCCCAGATCCATTTTCTATTGCTCTAACAGAATACCAGAGGCTGAGTAAATTATAAACTATAGAAAGATTGGGGTTTTTATGTTTGCTTTTTGCTTTTTTTGACTCATTCTTCTCGAAGCTGAGAAGTCCAAGAACACGACGTGGCAAAGGAGTAGAAAGGACAAAATTTGTTAGAACTTACAAGTAATCCATTCCAGAAATAACTAGTCCACTATCAGAATAGTGGCAACAATCGATTCTGAGCGTGAAGCCTTCTCCTTCTTCATGTTTCTGAAGGTTCACCTCCTGATATTAGCAAAGTTGCACCTGAATTTCCACATGAGTTCTGAGGGGACAACCCGAAAACAGCAAAGGAGTTCACAGGGGATTGAAACTCAAAGAGGCAGCTAGGATTTGGGCCAATATGCTATCTTATTAGTAAATTGGATTTTGTTTGTTTTTTTTTTTTAATCAGTAATTTGAACTTTTGAATGTGTTATGATTGTCATTACGCAGGGGCTTTTTCTGTATTTCATATTTCTTATTGACCATGATTTTTATCAAAATACTTTTACTAGATAGTTCAAGTTTCCTTGTCTTGAAGTTCACATAGCTATGGAGAGCTAGCAGGCGGCCCGGGTGCTGGGGACACAGCCCCGCCGCTCCTATTTCAACACCTAAGCATACTTTCACTGGCACTCTGCACATTCTAAGTCTTTCTCTAAAAGTGTCCCGCCTCCAACTGCCACTGCTTGCTCAGCTCCACTGCCAAACTTGCCTGCTTTCTCGGACCCTCCCTCAAAAGGCATGGCTCTTTTTACCCATCACTCTATCCCTAGCAGCTAATGCATGGCTGTTTCTGTTCTTAGCCAGCACTCTGACCCTAACAGCTAATCAGATAACAGTTGTTTTCTCTCAAACTCTTACAAAACAGTTCTCAAGCTCTCTTCTGAGTTCGGTTTTAGAAATTCTTTTTTTATTAACATTACTAAAGATCAATAAAATGGAATCTTGATCTGTAAGTGACAAATTTGGCATCCAACATTGGCTTATCATTAAGGAGGTTCCTCTGAGGACAGAACAGGTGGCCTTCTTTAGTCTTTTGATTCAAGTCACTGCCTTCTGTGGTTCAAACACCTTCCAGTTACTTTGGGCTAAGATTCCTTTTTGGAGGATTTGATCTCTAGACTTTGCTTTTCTATCTTCAGGTGTGGAAACCCTTTGCTTTGATACTCTGTCTTCCTGGAAAAAAAGAAATGTTACTTTTTCTCTTTCTCCTCTCCAAAGTTCTCTCCCTTGCATAGGGACAAGACATGAAGATTATACACAATGCCTTTCTTTCTTTCTTTCTTTCTTTCTTTCTTTCTTTCTTTCTTTCTTTCTTTCTTTCTTTCTTGGGTTATGTGGGTATCTGTGTGCGCGCGCACATGCACATGTGTATGTGTGGCCTATGAGCACACAATGGCCTCTAAATGGCACTAACTTTAATCTCCCTTTTCTCTCTGACTGCCGAGACTCCCTTTTATATCCTTCACCACTCCTATTCCTTCCGA